GAGTCTACGGAGGTTTGAATACCCTCCTAGACCCACCATGGCCTGTGGGTGTGCCTAAGTGGAGTTCTAGAGGTTGGATGTGACTTCTGCTAAGGGGAAACTCTGCTGAAATTTAGTTGGCGCCTACACTTGTGGAAATTGTGTAGGACTTCGGTGTGGACAGAAAAGGGGGAGATGAAACTTGAGATTGGGAGAAGAGAAGATGAGTCAAGGGAGTGGAAATGCAGCTGAGAAGAGAAATGAGCCGCCACCATCCAAGGTCGAGGCATTGGATGGTTGTACCGGCCAGCAAGATTGCTCTTCACCGCTCCTCCCATTGGGTCATCGACACGAGAGCCTTCATGACCATGACCAACCGAGAGGAACTGCTGGATGAAGTCAGGCCATCAAAGGCAGCCACCGTCGTTTCAGCCACCGGCCAAGTTCTACCCGTGCGTGGCGAGGGGAGAGCCATGTTTATGGGTGCGGATGGGAGGCTTGTGGGGCTGAAGCGTGTTCTTCTTGTCCCTGGACTATGTGCCAACCTTCTCTCTACCAAGGCATTGAGTGAGGCAGGGATGAAGATGGAGATGATGGGCACAAAGGTGTTCAAGGCAACTCTGGATGGGAGCATGTTGTTGGACCTCCGAGGCGGCAAGGACATGCACCGGTCCATGTGGAGATACCAGTGCTGCCATGGAAGGAGGCGGCTGCGTGCTTGGCTGCTGAAGCAGAGGGCATGCAAGCCACGTAACCAGTGGAGGAGGTGGTGATGGCAGTGATGGTGGGCTGCTTGTGCGTGGGGGGGGTGCACTACCAAGTGTAACTCCTAGCACGGGTGAGACGGATTGGCTCACCGCACACCGTCGTTTTGGTCACGTGGCGCTACCTCAGTTACAGCAGCTGCTTAAGGAGGAAAGAGTCAAGGGGCTGAGGATAAAGGGGGAGCCCAAGGAGGTGGGCTCTTGTGAGACTTGCTTGACCAGCAAGTTCTCATGGTTTCCCTTCCATTCGGCGGTGGGGCAGTCAAGTGACCCGGTGGAGCTCGTGCATGTGGATCTTATGGGTCCCATGAAGGTAAAGGGAGATGGTGGGGCCCTTTATTCCATGACTATGGTGGATGATTACACAAGGCTCACCTGGTCTTTTCCACTTCCAAAAAAGAGTGATGCTGCAAGGGTCATCATTGAAGAGTGGCTGCCCATGGTGGAGCGAGAGAGCAGCAAGCGGGTGAAGGCGATTCGTAGCGACCGTGGTGGGGAGTTTTTGGGAGCGGAGTTCCGGAGCTGGTTGAAGCGGCACGGTATCAAGCAGCAGCTCACCACGGCCTACACCCCTCAGTCCAACGGCATGGCAGAGAGAGCGAACCGGACCATCATAGAGGGCGGGAGAACGATATTGGTGGACTCGGGTCTACCCTTGCGGTTCTGGCCCCTCGCTATTCGTCATACTACCGTCATCAAGAACCGGGTGTTGACTCATGTGGGAGGTCAGCATTGGGTCCCTATGGAGAAGTGGAGTGGCAAGAAGCCCCTGGTTGATATGCTTCGTGTCTTCGGGTTCATGGGGCTCGTGCATGTCCCTAAGGAGAAGCGTGACAAGCTTCAAGCAGCGGCGGTGTGGGCTGTTCATTTGGGTCTTGCACGGGGGAGCAACGGCTGGCTCATGTGGGACCCAAAATCCAACACCATCTTCACCACCAGAGATGCCAAGTTCATGGAGGGGCTCATGTTCAAGGAGTAGTCGGAGCGGGGGAGGAACAAGGTCACCATTTCGCTTGGAATAGAGGTGGGAATGAACGACCCACTTCTCATTCCCATGGAGTTGTCCTCATCTTCAGAGTTGACAGAGGTGTCACATGACTTGGAAGGTGCTGAAGGGGAGGCAGCAGATGTGGAAGAAGTAATGCAGCAAGGGGAGGCCCCTGTAGCTGAGAGAGGTGATACCAAGGAGGAGGTGCAACAGCCTACACCATCCCCTAAGCTTCCACCAAGGCGCACAACCCAAGGGAAGCGTGATGCTGTCCGTGGTGGAGCCAAGGAAGGAGCAGCCAAGGAGAGGCCCAAGAGAGCTGCCCACCCAAGGGATTTCCTCAAGTATGAAAGGCTTGTGGTTCCCGAGGCATTGCTGGTCCAGGAGGAGGAAGATGAGGAGGAGAAGGGAGCCGAGGTGGAGATGGAGGAGATTTTTTTCTTTGGCGTCAACTTACCTCAGGAGCCGGTGTCAATGGAGGAAGCTCTCGCTGGAGATGATTGAGAGGCATGGCTGGCTTCAAGGGAGGATGAGTTCCAGAGCCACATGGAGAATGAAACGTGGATCCTTACCAATCTGCCCCCAGGAAGGAAAGCGTTGGACTGCACATGGGTGTTACGTATGAAGACCGACGCGGAGGGGAGGTTGGAGAGGCGCAAGACAAGGCTTTTGATCAAAGGCTTTCAGCAGAGGAAGGGGATTGACTTTCGAGAGGTGTTTGCTCCTGTTGCCAAGGCTCCTACGCTCCGGTTGTTGCTAGCAGCCGCTGCCGTTTGTGGCTGGAAGGTGGAGCAAATGGATGTAAAGACGGCGTTCCTCGATGGCGTGGTAGATGAGGAGATATACATGAAGCAGCCAGAGGGGTATGATGATGGGAGCGGACGTGTTTGCAGGCTCAACAAGCCCATCTATGGCCTCAAACAAGCTCCAAGGTGCTGGTATGCAAGGCTGGTGGAGGCGTTGGAGGCTCTTGGCTTCAAAGTTAGCGGGTGCGACGAGAGTCTCTTCATGACCGAGGGGGAGGAGGAGAAGGTATTTATCCTTGTCTACGTCGATGACATCCTCCTCTTCTCTCCATCGCTGGAGAGGATCAAGGAGGTGCGAGGGAAGCTGAAGTAGACCTTTCAATGCAAGGCCCTTGGACGAGTGGGGTATTACCTTGGTCTTCACGTGGAGTGGGACGAGGTGAAGGGATGGTTGAGGCTTCACCAACACAAGTACCTTGCAGCCATGGAGGAGAAGTATGGGCTGGTGGAAGGGAGGAGTGTGAAGACTCCTCTACCCTCGGGGTTTCAGCTGCACCTTGATGAAGAGGAGGGTGAGGTGTTGGAGTACGAGTTGCAGCGTCGGTTCCAGTCAATGGTGGGGAGCTTGATGTATGCTTCGGTCAACACTCGCCCCGACATTGCGTTTTCAGTTTCACAGCTCGCTCGTGTGGTGTCTAGGCCCCTTCAAGAGCACCTGGATGCAGCAGAGAGGCTGGTGAGGTACTGCATGGCAACCTGAAGGGTGGGGCAGCAATATTCAGTGCATGGGCAACTGAAGCAAAAGGGAGTGGAGGAAGTGAGCACAAAGACTGGTGCACCTACAAGGCGTGGGCACTTGTACCTCTCGTGCTTCACCGATGCTACTTGGGCAAGTGACATCAAGTGCTACCTACCGATGCTACATCCCATGGTGGCTATATATGCTGTGTTGGAGGGAGTCAAGTGAGCTAGAAGTCTAAGAAGCAAGGAGAGATAGCTCACTCATCAACGCAGAGCGAGTACATGGCGTTGTTTCATGGAGTGAAGGAGGTGGTTTGGATGAGGAGGTTGCTTGAGGAGTTGGGGCAGGAGCAAGAGGGTCCTACACCTGTGTTTTGTGACAACCAAGGAGCAATTGCAATGGCGCGTATTGTTGTGCTCCATGGGCTGAACAAGCACATGCATATCAAGTGGCATTGGGGTGAGGAAGGAGGTGAAGAAGGGCACCATCTCCTTGCACTACATCAACACAACCAAGCAACCTGCAGATTTTTTGACTAAGCGGCTTGCAGAGCATCAGCATTGGAGCTGTTCCACCTTGTGTGGCATGTCCTTCAACTAAGGGAGACAGCTTCAGGGAGCAGCTAAGGGATGAATGAGAGTACGATGAGGGGGAGTTTGTTGGGCCAAATGGTACCCCGTTTTCTACCGACCTTTCTCCTCCTCTCCTGTGTCCTCCGCCTGACCCGTCGCAGCCGCCGTTACAGCCCGCCTCCCCACTGCATGCTCCCTCTGTTGTGCCAAAGCGCTATAGTGGCACGGTCATCGCACTCCCATTCCGCCTACAAGCCTGCTCATCTTTTGCAATTTTCTGGGGAGGTGCGTCAACATGTGTTCTTCAGACCCTCAAATGTTCAGAATTTTTGAAGCTGTTTACAAGGCATGGCAACATTTTTAGTTTCAAGACTTATGGCATCCCGGAAGTGTGTGTTACTCTTTTTTGGTAACACCCAAGTTCACCATTTCGGCTGCTGACTCATCTACCAAGCTCTGATTGGTCTGAAAATCGTTGTGGCATTCTTTTGCCGTGCTGTTCAGGTGGTCACCGAGTTTCAGGACAACCCAGCATCAAAGCAGCACGTGACAGCTGACGAAAGTTACTGTTCCGTAGTCATGGTGCACTGTTGGCAGCATTTCCCTTGCCATCCTTTCATTGTTGTCATGCCAATGGTGCAGGGACAGAGAATGAGACAAGAAGTACAGGTGGTCAAGTGGGACTCTACCACCCTCCTTTTGAGAAGTGTGGTCCTCCTAGAAGCAGCTTGCAAGAGGGTGCAAGTGGGAAGACAAGCTGACTCATGGTTGGCTTGACTCACTATTGGTAGCCTTGAGTACAGCTCTGAACATCCAAGTGTGGTTGGCTTAGCTGACCTAGATAGGACGTTTCCCATCCTTCTCTAGCCTTTCTCCCCTAGGACTCAACCCTCTCTGAGTTCCCAGGATGGTCCCAACCCCTTAAGAGTCCCCTAGGCAATGTTATACTTACCTCTTCCTTGCATCAATATAACTACATGTTTTCAGCCGAGCTTACGTTTTTGTTCACTACGTAGGGCATACACCTCTGATGAAAGCAAGCAATATACCGTTGGAAAGCAGACACCGGAAGCTAACGTCTCTTCACGTTTCAGCCTCGTATGTTATCTGAGCTGATCGTGACGGCGTTTTGAACAGAGGCGGTTCGAAGTCATCAGATTCTGCTTAGGCGAATTCATGGGCATCCGCGACCCCTAAGTGGAGTCTAGACTATGACAAGGGGAAGGCGCCTGCAAAGAGGTGAATCAGGATGCCCACGAGAGGGTAAGGGAGGGCGGCCGCGAGGGGGTAAGGCTGGGCGGCAGAGAGAGGGACGGCGGTGGGCAGGGCGCACACGCGCGTCGATGGCAGGCCGAGCACGCGCGTCGACGATGGGCAGGCAGCGCGCGTCAGCAACGGGCAGGGTGTGGAAGGAGGCGGGGTAAGGGGGAGCGCACGACGACGGGACAAGGTGCGCGACTAGGGGACGGGGCAAGTGACTAGGCAGGGAGGCCGCGGACGATGGGTAGTTGGGATGAGCAAGGGGCAAACACGAACGTGTTCGTCTTCGAACCTGCACGAACACATCGGTTCGGCAAACACTTAGAGGCGAACGCCTTGCTGCCACAGGCAAACACCTTGCTGCCACAGGCGAACACGAACGTGTTCGAGGAAAACACGTTCGTTTTCGCCCAGGGGGAATTTTCACTATAGTCACACATGGCAGACACGGAATTTGCCCCTGCAAGATGATAGGTAGGGGGGTTCAGGGTGTTTAGGTGTTTATGCAATGTACCAACAGCCACTACATCATGTTGTGTTGAACAAAACCACATCATAAAAAATGCTATGCCATGGTCCCACTGCTACCAACAACACCATCCCCGCCCCCATCTGCGTCTGCCTCCTCCTCCTCGTCGTCGTCATCTTCCGCCCCCTCGCCCTCAATGGCGAACTCTGGTGCTGTGACTCCTCTTGGTCGGCGGCCCTCGCCAATCCTCTGGCCAGGGTGTGAACTGTACCATGGTATGAGAATCATGGCTGATCGCGTCCTCTCGGAGCCCAGGCAGTGCCGCTTCCAGGAGATGAGGTTGCGACCCAGAGAGATTACCCGCTCGCTCGCAACGGACGTGGCAGGAATGGCAAAATAATCCCTTGCCATGAGCCTCAGCGTCTGCATGTTGGTGGCGGTGCGTCAGTGCTCTAGAGATGTCACGTCATACCGCACCCACTCAGACAAATATCTGCTAAATTCATCATCCTGCACCATTCCTCCCCCCCCCCCCCCACCACCACCCTCGCCTCTTGGCTCGCCGATAGACGCGCCGCAAGTCGTCGGCGACTAGGAAGAAACTGGTCGTCCTCGTCATCTCCCTCGCCTCCCTCCTCCTACTCCGCAACGGTGCCAAGGGTAGTTAGCTGGGGAGCAAGCTCTGCAGCCCGGGCCTGGTACTCGGCCACACGCTCGCGTACCGGCATGATCACCTTGCCGGACGTGGGACGCGGCCTCTCCCTCCTGCGCGTATCAGGATGCAGCTTCTCCCAATGCACGTCGTCGAACCACACCACCTTCATGGATGGGTCCAGGAAGGTGGCGATCCAGTACTCGTTGCTGGTGATATACGTGTACTTATTCAAGTGGCCCAGCGCCGCCACGATCATCGGCTCCAGCGTCGTAGATGGCCCCTTGGCAAGGCGCGACTCCATGGCGTCGATTAGGCTGTTGTAGTAGGGCACCACCATCGACACTGTTGGGTATGCCGCCCCCTCAGTTGCCTTGGAGACCTTGTTGAAGGGGCTGAGAAATGTCTTCAACGCCTGCAAGATCTCCCAGTCAGCGTCTGTCAGGCGCAGGCTGTCCATCTTCTCCTTCTCCGCCTTCGTCAAAGCCCTTTCCGGGTGAGGGTTTGGTATGGTGGGTGAGTGTGGTAAGAGTTTTACGGGTGTTGTGCGCATTTTTTGCTGCAACATACAAGCTCGACCAAAAGCGTTGAGGGGAAGTGTAACTAAACGCCCTGACAAACCCACAAAGCAAGACCCACATGACATACCTAGGTCGAGGCAAAAAACACTGTGATGGGGTTCTGCAGAACACAGGTGCAGTCGACCATGTCGTGGGTCGACCCCCACCTCACAGGACTGTCCTACACCAGCTTCAACGGCGGCTTGTTGTTGTTGGCCTGCGCGTTCAAGCTCCGCTGGAGCCCCAAGAACGCCCCCGAGCGTTGCGGCGAGAATCCAATCCACGACGCCATCACTCTCAGGATCTTCAACAGGTTGCGTATGGTCTCCACAGACAGCGCTGCCTACAGGGTTTATCACATGTGCCAAGCACTTGCGCGCAGAACACAGCAACAATGGCAAGGGGTTGGGGACTTAGAGCACGTGGTCAATGCCACCCACACACCCACACCTTACCCCACACACCCTCTCACCCAAACCGCACCGCCCCACTCCCCCACACACCGACACATGGTCTCAACCCTAAGGACAGACCCACACAGGCACACACACACCCACACACCCACACACCCAACCCACACACACTTATCGGAAGCACATGCGCGAGTTGAAGAAGCCTTGACCAGCACCCTCCTCCGACAACCGCCTGAAGGCGGCAATGTTGCTAGAGGCGTTGTCGGTCGTGAGACCAAGACAACGCCCCTGCAACCCCCACTGCACCACCGTCTCCTCCACCACCTTCGCCATCTCCTCGCCCCCATGACGCCCGTGCATCTCGCGAAACTCTAGCACGGCCGTGCGCAGCTGAAATTTCTCGTCTATCCTGCCTGACCCCTGCACCTCTCGCCCTGCCTTCCCTTTCTTCTTTGGGAGATTCGGCCAGCATGTGGCATGCGACCACTCATCAACATAGCCATCCGGCACACCCCTGTAGCCCCCTCGAGGAAATGTCTCGCCAGGCAACTGAACGTGTGGAGTGTGGTAACGGTGATGCCACACGTGCATGTGACCTGTGAGGTAGCTCTCAAAATGACGCTCGCCTGGTGTTGTGGTGGACCCCGTCCACGAAATCCTATTAGTACAAATCTTGCACTGACGCTTGTCGTTTGACCCTTTAGGCCCGAACATCTGAACTTGCCACCCCAGTTTCTTCTTACCCTTGCCAGTCCCCTACTACTCTCGGACCCTCCCTCCTCGTCAAGAAACTCAGGAGCGACCACACCCTCTCCCAAAGGCTCCCCAGTGAAGGTGCATGGATACACTCGCGGTCTCAACTTGGGAGCCCTCTTCCTCCGCTTCGGCCCCCCAATGGACTCTCTCTTTCTCCCCACCTTAATGCCACCTCCTTCACCCACATGCTGTGAGGCCGCCTCTGACGCTACCCCTCCTCCCTCTCCCACCCCCTCCTCCACCTCCTTTGGCTCCAACCCATCCAACTCGTCGTCTTCATCTACCACCCCTTCCCCACCGTCATGAGTCTCGAGATCCCACCCCAGCTCACTGACATCCCCGCTCCCCTCCTCGTCCTCCTCAACCTCGTCCTCACCCTCCTCGTCCTCATCCTCCTCCTCACTGGCACTCTCTGTCGTGGTAGTACGCGTCTGCCCAGAAGGAGGGGGCCGAGTGCCAGTATAACGGAACGAGTGACGGGATGTCGGCGCCGGAATGGACAGAAACACCCCAAAGAAACAAGCACCGGCTCTTGCAGGACCGTCACCTACTCACCCCTGCATAGGTCATGGTGGAGACAAAGGTGTACCGCCCTAACTAAGTCGTGCACCTCGTTCTGCTGAAACTTGTTGGCGGGAGGCCATTACTCTAAAACGAGATAAAAAACCCTAAACCCTATAATGGTAACGAACGAGAGCCGCCAACGCCACTACAAATGGCTTCCAATTTCCCTCTAAACAAGGTCCTAATGTACCTACGTCTAATCGCTCAAAGAAATGCCCACACCTCCTTGAGCATGGACCGCTCCAAGCCCTAAACACTAGCTAACAACCCTAAACTTCACGATATTCATGGTTACTCCGTTCTAGTAGTAGGTAATGTACGTGTAATCATTCTAAGATGGAGTGTTGTGTCTCTTATAGCTTCAAGATAATGGCAGTTGTGGGAGGTAAGGGGCTGGCGCTAAGTTCGCGATGAATTTGAGCTAAAAAAATGAGCTCAAACTCAAAGGGCCGCGACCTCAATTTGGTCGCGGCCCAATTCGTCGACGAACACCTTAGTGTTCATCGAAGGCCCGTGTTGAACACGAACATGTTCGTGTTTGACGCACCTCGGCCAGCTGTGACTGGCGAACGGCAAACGTGTTCGGGCGAACACCGAACACGTTCGCCCCGAACAATTTTGGCAAAAAAAAAAAAAATCATGGTCAGTTCGCCTCGAGTGCTCAACCGCGGCTTAAAAAAAAGAGGAAAATTGAAGGTAAAAATGATAGGGAACAAAGAATTTGACTAGATAAGAAGTTGTGCGCCGAATGCCTAAGGCCTAAACCGTACTGAGAGATTTGAAAACGGACAAAACACCAAGGACTAGGCTCTATATACCATGTTAAGTATTGAGTTGTAGCCATGGCTAGTGAGAGAGGAAGGATGAGTTGTATTAGCAAGAGTGTCGAGATACATTCGAAGGAGAATGCGATAATTGAACCTAAGGTGTGTTCAGTTTGGGCTGAAAAAAAACAAAATGAACCTAAAACGAACCTGAAAGCGTAACTCACTCTAAGCATGGTAAAATAATAAAAGAACACCAAAATAAAGACCAGAGCGAGCTCTAGCCTACTCCAACATCTTGCTGAAAACAACGACCACAGAAGCGCCGACTTGGTTACATCCTGAAGAAATGGACCTCGAGCAACCTGGACCAGATCGCCTCTACCGCACCCGTGCCGTTCCGACCGCCTCAACCACAAACCCCGGCGACACTGGATGTGCATCAATGAAAGAAGTGACAGAAAGCAGAGCGTCAGCGGAAGTAGCAACAACAACACAAGGCAACACTGGAGGCTGGGGAACTACAGAAACTCCAGCCCTTGGATGGGGCACCAACGTCACGGCGGGAGCATGGGGGCAAGTCGAAACTCCGTCAGAGACTGCAGGAGGCTGGGGCCCGCCGATGCTTCCGCCAGGAGTTCCAGCTAAAGGCGGATGGGGAACCTCCACTTCTTGCAACGGATGGGGTTATCCGGAAGCTCCAAGTCTTCCTCCCGAAGCTGTTGCAAAAATGGACCCATACTGGGCAACACGTGGCACTAGCCAGAGCGGACCTCCTCTTCCAAATCAATACCCCTACAAGCCAACACAAGAAGAAGAGAGAGAAGAGTCAGAAGACATGATTTATGACTTTGGCGAACCAGCAAAATTACCTGAACCTACAGAGGAGCCGCTGCCCCCAAAGAAAGGACCACAGCTCATCCCAATTGCAGGTGACAAATACCTTTACCTCCGGATTCCGATGGAAGGACTCCCCGCTTCCGAATGGCCTGACGCGGCACCACCTCAACAGCTTCTGCCAGTTACTAATGAATCCATTCACGTCGCTGACAGAAATGACATCGTCGGGATCTCCAAGGCCGAGCTAGAGCAAACATCCTCCAGGGCCTTCGCAGCTGACGTCCGAGTCGCCGCCGACAAAGGACATGCAACACCATAGCAAGAGGAGGAAGAAAGAAACATATATTTTAAGAGAACGGCCAGTTACTGTGCTACTCCCGAGATATGGCACCAGCGACTCGGGCACCCCTCACACGCCACACTAAAAAAATCCACCGCGGCTGAAGTCTTTGATACGAGCGGATTGCTTCTGCTCGGCGGCGAAACACTCAAAACAACATCGGACAACCCGCTGTCCATCATCTACCCGACCGCGTCACTCGCTCACAAACCCTTCCCAGACTTACCTCCGAGCTACGAACGATACACGCCACTCGAGAAAGTCTACAGCGACTTCATAATACTTAGCCCACTGGACCTCGACGGCGACTACAACACGATGACGTTCATCGACGCCTGCATGCGCTACGTGTGGGCCGTCAAAATCGATTATCACTCTCGTGCCTTCGACTGCTTTGTTACCTGGATGAAACGTGCCGAGCGACAATCGGGTATATAGCTGAAAAGCTTTCAAACAGACGGAGGGATGGAATAATTCTCCACTAAGTTCAAGGAACTCTTCGCCAAGAAAGGGATTGAGCACCTGGTGTCCCTGCCATACGCACACGAACAGTAGGGAGTAGCGGAAAGGACAAACAGGAGTCTCGCCACAAGGATGAGAGCCCTCATGAAGCAGTCTGCCATCCCAACAAAGTTTTGGCCGTTCGCGATGAACCACGCTGTTCGGCTGCACAACCTAAAGGATAACACCTCACCATACAAAGCATGGATGGGCAGGAAAGCTGACGCACGTCTGCTCTGAGTGTTCGGCTGCATGGTACAGTACAGACCCCAAACGGCACGAACATGAAAATTCACAGACTTGGCACGATGAGGCATTCACCTCGGAATCTCCAAAGAATTCAAAGCCTAGATTGTGCTGGACTACGCGACACACGAAGTGTCAAAATTACGTGATTGCATCTTCTACGAGAAGCTGACGCTGGAACTGTTCAAGAAGCATTGCGAAGTCGACGAGGCACCAGAAACTATCTTCACAGGACACCACAACTTCGCTGCTTCACGGGACAAAGCTGACATGGCGGACGATGCACTGGGTGTTCTGGGCAACGAGCCTTAACAAAGCATCCCCCTTATAATCCCCCTCCAAACTCCGACCTTCATACCTGTTTCTCAATTCAACCTCGATTATATAACTCACGAAGCCCACAACTTCAACAGCCTCACGCGAAAACTCACATTGTGGACTATGATCAAACGTTCGCACCGGTCGGCCGGCACACTTCGGTCCGCATCCTCATCTGCATCGCCGTCGTCAAGCAGCACCCGCTCCGCCTGATTGATGTCTCCAATGCGTTCATGTACACAATCGGCAGC